AGAGGGCAAGACCGAGCAGCTGCACACTTGGAGTACCTGCAGTTCCGGCACGGCCGGACTCTTCTGGCGGGGTCTTCGTAGTATTGAGGTGCGTAAGGCTCAAGGGCCCAGACCTTTTGTTGCAGGCCTGTAACACCCTAGTAAGCGCCCGAATATGCTGAGCCCCCAACATTAGCCGAGGTTTCCACTGGCTGGGAACACCCTGTCGGATCGCATGGCTTCTTCGGTGATGCAGCGACACGGTGGCAATGCAGTAGCTTGTGTTTCAACTCTAGGGGTTTAGGGGCTTAGAGTTTAGGGTTGAGGCTGGGTGGATGACCTTTAATTATGTTTAAAATCGAAACGTTACCCTTGTTGGGCTAGGGTACGTCTCCCCTAAGAACAGGAGTATTGTTCCACCTGAGCATCGACACATCTTAGCAAGCTCAAGCTGGCACGCACATGTCGAGAAGGAGAGATGCCGAACCCGACTTGGCCATATCTTTGTGATCTTGCGCCTCTGTTGAGGGCCGACGTCGGCAACGTAAATAGGCAAGGTCCTCAAGGGCGTCACTGTCAAGGCGCCACCTGCAGCAAGCCAGCAAAACGACCGTGACAGCGAGAACAGCATCACACACGTGAACCTCCATGATTCGCACCGACAGCACGGATCCGCAGCAACAAAACCCCGAAGCCGCAACACTAACAGCATTCCCTAAATCCCAAAGAGCCCGAGAGGTCTGGTGCCGAAATCGGCGAGATCAACGCGCAGCGGTTGCTGGAGCTCCTCGGCACCGCATGGTTCAGTGAAGTTTGTTGTTTATAGGGTAATTAGGTTGATTCCTGCAGAGTGGCAGAATGTGGAAGACATATGCCAAATAATTACACAAGACCCGATGTTTCAAAGGCTTGTTTGAAGCCTCGCTGGATAGGTCTCGTGGGCCTTGTGTTTGTGCGCAGAACCTGATCTGCGCACGCAACTGAGGGGTTCAAGTGAAGCCACCAAATTTAGACAGACCTTGCTCTTTGACATGCAGCGCTCAGTTTGGGGTTTAGGGGTTTAGGGTTCAGGGTGCTGCATGTGTGCATGACAGATATGACAGCCTGTCTGGATCAGGTGAACATGATTCAGCCTTGTCGTATGACATACATCCCACATCCTAAACCGGAAACAAGTTAGTGTACTATCTGCCGACGTGATCTTTCCCAGCGGTACCATTATTACTATTAATACCGTGAATACTATTATTACGATTATGACTATTATGGCAATGACTCCCAAACTGGCCTAGGAAGTTCGGCTTTGTCGGGGTCTACCGCAAACGGCCCAAACTCCTGCCACGGACACGCTTGAACCGCGAGCCGCTAAACCCTAAATCGGCTTAGGGCCTACCTGGACCCTCAAAGCAGGTAGAGTAATGGCATTTTTATAGTGTTGGGCCATTATTTTACCTACTTTTTGGGGTCTAGGTAGGGACCAATTACATGAAGCTGTAGCTGATACAACCCTGCACCTTTGAGCTCCGGTTCCGTTTCATCGTTCAAGGCTTCTGAGAATTTTTAGGAGTCTCCTGTTCCGGCCCGAGGCAACACAGCCTGACCCTTGAAACGTTTTGGTTACAGTGTATTAGAGTATCGTTTCGTAGCGTAGAGTATAGTATCATGTAGGATCAGAAAACTCTTTTAGCCTGATAGAACTGTTGTGCTACCACTTGAGTCGCAAGGTCTCGTCTTCCTTTCCAGATCCCACGGCACCTCGGTTTTGCATTCCACTCCGCGGTGTCTGGAGTCAAAGGGTTTAGTTCGACTAAGCGCTGCTGCGGGTTTTAGGGTTTGGGACTCGGATTGAAAAGGGGTTTCGTATATGGGAGTTTCCGAAAATAGGGGTACCATATTTTGGGGTCCTTATAAACAGGATCCTACTTCTTAGGGTACTATAAGAGAGTCCCGTATTGTCGGAAACTCCCACATGGTTCAGCGGGATCTGCTGGACACGAAATCTGTCTTTTGGTTCTGTTAAAATGCTTAGGACTTTTTAAAGGGTTTGGTTGATAAACAGGGTTCTGGGTTTCATGACAATGATATTGTTTTATTGGAGTCTGCGGAAGGAACTGTCCCATGTACTCCCTCCTCTAGAGTCTTCAGAGGCGCATGCGGAAGGAAGGTGGGATGAGTCTGCTGGCTTGGTTCAGCCTGTAGACCCTATAAGGTCTGCAAGCCTTAAACCCTAAACCCGTTACCGAGTGTGAGCACCGAAACCAGAGACCTCGAGGCTTGTCCCGGCTGTGAGTGCTGCAAAACCATAAATCCTTCACCCTGAGCCTAGAAACCTGCGACCCGAAGCTACAGCGGAAAAGAGGTCACTGAGTTTAGCTTGCTTTGGGCTTTGGGGCGTAACCTTGGGAGACATATGACTTTCCGCGGCTCACCCGGATGCAAAAAGGAAAAGGGTCTCGGGCCGGTTGGCCTTTAGTGCGACCAAGGCAGCAGAGAAAGAAGGAACAGGTTTGAAAATTGAAAGCGTCCTAAACCGCGAATTCCCCCCCCCCCCCCAATTTTTGCTGCTTTGACGAGTTTGCTGGTTGGACTTTGCTCTCTACTTCGTGGTCGAGTGAGTAGCTTTGGATGTAGAAACTCCTACCATTTACTACCGTACGAGGTTTTTGGTCCTGGTTCAATATCGGGCACTCGGCGCCTAAGTTTACAGCTTGACCTTCTGAACCTGCATCCTCAAGAGGTACTACTTCGCGGATGTCTCCAATGCCGCTCGTTGCAATTAGAGTTTAGGGGTTTAGGGATGTGGATGGTGCTTGAGCTGTTATAGACAAAATACTACACTACACTCCACACCCTATGCACCTAAACCTCCAAGTGGGGAGTGGAAGAAGTGCGAGGGGGCAGCCAGGCTGTCCCCTGTGTATAGTGCATGTTTCTTGACCGGGTTTTTGCTAGGCATGGTTTCTTCCTTCGTTTAGTTTCACGGGCATTGGATTTTGGGCTTCGGGTTCAGGGCTAACTACCTGCCGCACACCAAGCCCTGAAACCCTCTCAACTCTGAGTCGCACACCTCCTCAGAACGTCGTAAGCAGTCCCCGCCCGATAATGCAACAACCCAAACGCCAACTATAACCAAAAATCGCTTCTAGTTCAACATGATGCCCGACAAGTAGGAACGGGAATATCCGAATTCTCTACCCCCACGCTGCTGAACCCGAGCCCCACAGGCCCTACAGCCTGAAACCCCGAATTCCTTCCTGGCTCCGGAGACTGGGCTCTTGTTGATGAGTTTTTTTAATTTAAGCTATCATTTGAAGCCCCTGAAACCCTAATTTAAAAGCCCCTAAACCCTAAAGAACCTTAAATCCCTTTACAAGAAGCCAGGAGACGTCCAACTGGATCCTCATCACTGAGCGGATACCCTTCGGTCTGAAGGACACCCCGCGTCCCCGCGTGGTAGTTCCTGCATTCACAGGGACCCTTGTGAATTTAGAGCTTAGGGTTTTTATAAAAGAAACGACTGTTTTCTTACAGAAACAGTTCAAAGGTAGGGGGAGGGGAGGTAGGGGACCGTAATGCCCCTTATAAGGCCTGTTTAAGGGGGTATAGTCCCCTACCCCCTACCACAGCTGGATGTGAATTTGTCCCAGCTTTCTCATGCTGCCATCCTGACATGTTCTTAACTCCAAGCATGAGGTACAGGAGCCTCAAGCGTCGGGCTTAGGGCTTACTTATTAAGTTCAGCAGACTTAGTATGTAAGGTTGCAGCTAAGCGCAGTGACGCTAGTTATACTTCTGTTGCAACCCCAATTCAGTTACTGTATATTCCCATTGCTACGCCTCCTGATCCTCGAAGTACTGTCAACCTGCTGGAGTCGTCTTGACGAGGACGGCGACCGAAAGGTGGATCCCGCCTATGAGAAGATGATGGACTTCCTGGGCACTTCAGGGATTTAGGCTTGGGATTGTGGGGTGTTGAGTTCTTATGCTTTGAGTTTCGACAGCATGATCGAGCCTTTCTTAGGCTTAGGACAATAGAACGGCTTGACCTCACCATTGCCATGGAGACATTACAGAGGACTATCGTCCCCAAACCTTAACCTCTCAGCCGCGAAAACTCTAAAGCCATAAAGCCCCATCATGCTGCGGTCATAGCGATTATCGTTGATGCGTATAGGTAGTTCTCCAAATTAGCATCCCGTGTTGGGTCCCAAAATAGCACGGCACCTTTGTGCAAAAGGGGGTGGTGCAGCGCGTGGTGAACATTCTCTGACAAGTTTTAGGGTTTAGGGTTTGGGGTGGTGCCAAGTAGTCAGAGTCTGGCCGGCCGTGCGACTGTACTACTGCTGCACTGACTTCGCGGCTTCACAACCCTTGTCCCGATTCAAGTGGAGTTTCCGAAAATGAAGGGGACCTTATGATGGGGTCCTTGTAAGGATCCTACTATTTAGGGTACTATATTAGGGTCCCCTATAGTTTCGGAAGCTCCCAAGTAGGGCGGCACCGTGTCATTAAGTGGAGGACTGGGAGCTGAAAGGGACCATGGAGGAGTACTACTTTCTGCTGGTGAAGAAGGGTGCCCAGATGGCAGGTATGGACAAGGCCCAGGGAAGTACACAGGGTTTGCTTGTAGGACGTTGTGGCGGGCCGCTCACCTCCCCACAAGCTTCGGCGTGGGACCGGCAGCATTTGGCTAACAGGGGAGACCTCGCTGCCTTGCACAGACCACCCAAACCACCATGCCTTCTTTGCCGATGTCTCGTGCTCGGAGCAGCCGCGTGCGTGGCTTCGCCCTGCTTGGGCTTGGCTTCCTCGCGCTATGGGGTTTCCAGGGACAGAGTGCCTTTAGCAAGGCACCGATTGAAGAGACGGAGGCTTCAGGCATGACGAAGGTGATTGCCGACCATGCTCTTCTCATGTCAATCGTGTCGATGATTATTTGTGGTGCTTTGGCATACACTGAGCAGCCACAGCCAGCCGCGGCTGGCCCAGCCGAGAAGCGGCCAGACTACAGCACCTTCGTGATGATCTCGAACATTCTGTGCTTCGCGTCCGGCTTCGTGAATGCATTGGCCATCATCGACATGGGAATGACGGTCTCCCACCAGACCGGCAACACCAGTCACACTGGACGCCTCTTGCCAGCAATTCCGCTGCTAGAGTGCGGGGGATTCAGTTTTCACGCCGGATGTCTCGAGGTGCTTCCACCATGCCAGATCTCGTGTGTTCAGACCTGCTACATCCTGTTTTAGCTCTGTTAGAAAGTTGCTGGCTTGCAGGCTTGATCATGAACGGGGGCATCAAGTTCTTTCACTTGATGCTTTCCTTCGCCTGCGGATCCTTCGTGTCTGGCTTTACCAAGTGCGACCAGGAGGCCATCTACCAGGGGCGCTACTCGCCCAACCTGTTGGCGTCAGCTTTTGCTGTGGTGCTCGGGTGCTTCGTTCATTACTGCAAGTCTGAGAGCGGCATCGCCAATGATGATGCATCCGAGTGCCTCTTCTTGTGGGCCTTCTCGCAGGGCATTCAGAACGGGATTACTCGGAGATGCAGCTCCCTTCCAGTTTGCACCACGCACTTCACCGGCTATTTGACCGACTTTGGTGTGGGTCTCGGCTTGTGGGCCCGTGCACAGGCAGATGGCGCCGAGCCGCCCACCCTGCTGAAGGTGTTCCTGTTCGGCTCCGGCATCTTCTTCTTCGGTCTCGGTGGAGTGGCGGCCATGGAGACCCACCCTGCGTGGGGCGCCCAGGCAGCTCTGATCCCAGCTGCCATCATGGCGGCCGTGGCTGGTGGCCTCATCCCTGTGATCAAGCCGGGCGCCAAGAGCGCTTGAGCCCGGCATTAGTTGCACACAGATGCACAGATAATGACCTCGGTGCCCCAGTGCACCACCCACATGGGATGCCAAGGCAGATTTTTTCTCAGGGTGGCCCGCCCACTAGCGGCAATTTTAAACACACCCGCCCATGAATTAGGGCATATGCCTCATATGCCACTTATCAAGCAATGCAAGCCGGCAACTGTACACTAGGGTGCTTGTTTGTAGGACGGCTTATTTACAGCATTGCTTTGCAACTCCTGACAACGTCAAGACCCTCCAGACCCATACTGTGCAGCATGCGTGAAATTGGTGTTTCCTGCTTGAGCTTTGTTTAGGCTTGAGTCGTTCACAAGCTCGCAATCACGTACTCGTAGCCAGTGCTGGGTTGAGGGTTGTAGCTGGGGCGAGCGCTCGCTCAACTGGTCTTGTCGTAGGTAGCAGTGGCAGGCGCAGCCTGAGAAGCAGCAGTGGCAGTCGCCGGCCGTGGTGGTGGTAGTAGTGGCGGTGGTGGTGAAGGTGATTGCAGTAGCAGTCTTTGTTGTTTTGGTTTTGCACTGGCAAGTGGAACCTCCGCCTCCTCCTCCTCCTTGCAGCATTCACAGCAGTATCCTGTAGCGTCTTTTGATGCTCTGAACTGAAGTTGAGGATGATCGTGAGGATGCTGCTAATGAGAGGTCGAGAAGCCTAGACACCTTCGGCTGGCTGTCAATTATGGTCCCTTTTTGGGTCCCTACTATAATACTGCACCTAACTTTTAGGGTACCCAAAAAGGGGCCATAATTTTGACAACTATTCACTAGACTACTCACATTCAGAAATGAGCCCGGAATCCTCGCACGTCAAACCTAGACCCTCAGACCCTGAACTTTCACGCTGGGCCCGAAACCCAAGCAGTTTCCAGGCAGAGAAGCTAGCACCACGCAGTGCCATGGCCGCTGGCCGCAAGGGTTTGCCATAAGAGACGGGATTTGGGTTTAGGGTTCTGAGGTTTAGGGATACTATACAAGACTTCAAGAGGCCTGGATGCAAAAGGGATACTATACCTGCAGCTGGAAAGGATATTGGAAGGGTTGCCGTCAGGATTTACAGCTGTACAGGTGTGGGGGTTCGGCTTGACTCTTTTATTATGCTTAGAGCTGCAAGCCTGATCCAAGACCCTCCAGACTCCGCACTGTGCAGGACCTCAAATACCCAGAGACTCCAATATCCCTATTTTAAGGAGTATATTTTACATTATAGCAGGACCCCTAATACGATTCAAGGTATATTCTGTAACTAAGGGAATTTAAGGAGTATGTATGTATGTATGTATGTATATATATATATATATATATATATATATATACATATATATATTTATATTTAAGTATATATATTTAAGATTATAGCAGGATCCCTAACAATTACGATTCAAGGTATATCTTGAAACTAAGGGATATTGGAATCTCTGGGATTTCAGGTCCTGGCGGCCTCTGACTTCTCCCCCAGTCGCGCGATAGCAGAATGAGAGCCAGAAGCTTCAAAGTGGGTCCTCCAGCAGCTTTAGTATGTCAATATGGGAGTTTCCGAAAATTGGGGGTACCTCATTTTGGGGTCCCTATATTAAGGATCCTACTATTTAGGGTACTATATTAGGGTCCCTCAGTATTCGGAAACTCCCATATGTAATTAGGTGATTATGTAGTTCTGTAATGATGCAATAGTAAAGCCTCAGAACATGCCAGAATCCTCGCCCAAGCGTAAGACCTTGCTCGAGTCCTGCTTGGGCTAAGTTTGTGTCCTGCATACTCAGGACAGCTTCTTCGGCCCTGGTTTTAAGCCTAAGGAGATGTTCGGCATGAGAAAGGCCTGCCGAGCGAATTGATCTCGGATGTTGCGGACGGTTGAGAGGTTAAGCGTCCTTATTGTGGTTTGTATTCGCGGCGAGCCAAACGCCGAAACCCTGAAACCCTAAACCCTGATCAGTTGTCTGAGTGTGAGTGCCGAAACGCTGATCATGTCTAGTTGTTCACTGGCCCACAACCCAAGGGAATAAAAGTTGAATCTTTCAGAGTTCGCTAGCTTATAAGAACCACAAAAGTTGAAAAGTTGAGCTTACAGTCAAGAAGGTTGTGGTTCCGTCTTGCTGCAGACTTCTTGGGTACTACTCTAGCCGCTAGCCTTTTTTGAGGGTAGTATAGTCCCTATAGTATCCCTATACAACCAAAAGGTTAACCTTTAGTTCCCCATGATACCCGACAAGTAGGAGTTTATGATTATGGTTCAAGTGGGAAACAACCGCTTTGGTTGTGCAAACTTTTGCTTAAACACACAAACGAACTCCAATCACAAATCTTTTTTGGGCAGCCAAACTTTAAAAAACTCCCAAAAAAGCTCCACTTCACAGTCCACTCCATTCCAAACCTTGGACTTGTGTCCAAGCAACGCAACCAAGTCGTTGTTTTTGGGGGAGTGAAAGTTTCGGAGATAATGTACGAACCTGATTAAGAAACCCTGGGCCTATAACCCCAAATAGTAGGTTTCATACAAGAAACCCTAAAAAAGGCCCAAGGTTTCTTAACCAGGTTCCTACATTAATAATGTGCTCGAAGGAGCTTCGCGTGTGGTTTCGAGTTGGGGGGGTCTCCGGGGCTCGGAGAATGTGGGTTTTCGGTTTCGGGCATACTATACTGTAGTGTAGCACGGTTGATGACATAAATCCTGCATTACCCATAATCAGGAATATTCCATAATTCCCATAGTTTAGGGTCCTTAAGGTAGTGCAGGATTTATATCATCAACAGTATCTCTAAGGCACCTCAGGAGAATAGAAATTGTTGCCCCGGCCCCTGGAGCACCAAAAGATGCGTTCATGCTCTCTACCGCAAGAAACCTAGTCACAGGTCATCTGATGAAATCACCCACAGCTTCCATTCCTACATATGCAGAGGAGAGCACCGGCATGGGCGAGGGCGAGTTGAAGGTAAAGCTGAAGATGGGTGTGGATTTCATCGGCACCACAGGACGGAAGCGGTTCAAGAAATTGAGTTTTTGGCTTTTCGTGTCACTCATGTGGAGTGGTGTCATGCTGTCGCCTATATGAAGCCACATACTGCTCGTGCTAATCCGATAACACTGAACGTAAGACCCCCACAGCGTTGCCTTCCTGAGCCGTCGGGAGCCATAGAAGCTACGCTGTAGCTTTGAAGCCTCATGTTTCAGCTGTAAAGTCCAGTCCTCCTGGTGGACAAGCAGATGCACATATGTAAGTAGTAATGCACGTTTCCGAAACCTTGCAATCCCCATCCTGACCCCAGTTGCGGTTCGAGTGCGGGACTTGTTGTTTCGGTAATTCATCGCGTGCACTTCTGTCAACAATCACTGCTCGACAGCCGCTACTCCCGAGCACCTTGTTGCCGCTCTGTGATGCGAGGAAAGGTGCTCTTTCCCGCCGAGTGCTCCACTCCGAAATTCCTCGAGTCCTATAAGAGCCTTGGTTGCGAGACGTGAAGGGGTTTGAGACAGTGCCCCAAAGCCTGGGACTTAGGATTAGGGGGACCCTCGCGGATATAGACCCTCTCAGAAGTTTGGAATAACTTCCTGGGCATGCAAGGAAGATCCTCACGACGGCGAATGCATATGCTGCAGAGATTGCCTGGTGGTGTAACCGGAACCCAGTGCCTCGGCTGTCGGCTATCCGTGCAAGCTCACAGGCTTCGCTTGATATACTATAGGGGCCCAAATAATTTCCAATACTTTCGGGGATAAACAAGAATGACGTATACTATTTTGGGGGTTCCTTATTGTAATTATAGTATAATGGACGCCAAAACCATGTTCTGTTTCTTAAGGCCCCTATATTGTCCGAATGCGGAGAGACTAAACCGGAAAGAGATCTTATTGAAATCGTAAGCGCCTTGATCCTACATGCAAGCCCCGGCTGCCCTATGTTGTGTACGGATGTCGTGCTTACCTAGTCCCCCCCAAAGTAGGTATAATAATGGCCTGCCACCTATAACAGGCTGTTATTCTACCTACTTTGAGGGTCCAGGTAGAGACATAGCAAGATCCATGCAGCTTGACAAGGCGCCCAGACTTGCCTGCATTGACCTTCTGTGTCAAACACACAAAGCATGACACCCTGAACGCATTTGTTGAGCTTGATGCTTCTTGGTCGGCAGTGTCCTTCGCTTTACTCAAATTAGTTCCTACAATGGTTTGTTTTCGAGTCTGCTCCCTTTCTGTGCCTGACGTGAGCAAGGACTACATCGCATGGAGCCACGGCAACCTGAACGTGGATAATGTCTTCTTCTGGCGAACCTCCGAGGGTGCCTCCGACAGAACTCAGCTTTGCAGTTGCTGAGCGTCGCGTCACAAGCGTCCTAATTTCTGCAAACAGCCCCACTCCGTCCAGAATTGCTGGTACGAGGGTAGTAGACCAGGGTTCTGTGGGCCCGAAAACGTAAGCCCGAAACATCGCTACTGTACAGTCTGCAAGGTTGCTAGCGCAGCTATCGAGGTTGTTGTGTTCCTTAGGACGGCAGGCCTGGCTTCCCCGCATGTTCGGTATCAACCTCTTTGAGTTTACAGGCACCTTGATTCGCCAAGACTACCCATTCAATTTCTTTGCAATGTCTGCATGCTTGGTCGCCTTCCTGCTCGAACCCAGCTAAAATCTTTGAAAAACATGGCCGAACATATAAGTGCTCGGGCCAATCGCCCGTGCAACGAAAAGACAACTGTGAGCATGGCAAGGTCCAGTCTGCGAGGCATTTAAGGTTTCAAACCTGCCTCTCGGGCTCTCGCCTTGTTCGTAAGTCTGGGAGGGCGGTTCGTCAAATGACACTTTCCCGAACTCATAAAAGTTGGTTGAGATTCGGAGCATCAGATCATGGGCATTTCAGGGCCCTCAGCCTCCCTCCAGCTCCTCCGTGACCAAACTCATGAGGCCCCGGCTTCCGAAATGCTCCATCGAGATGGCCCAATGTCAGAGACACCATTGTGCAGTCCGAGCCTGGCATCGAAGTACAGATGTCAGTATTCGCATCCATTTCAATCGTACGCCCGAGACCCCAACGGAATTCTTCCTGTAAACTTCATGGCCTTTTCACTTGTCTCTGGTCCGTGGGACCAGTCGTGAAGCCTTGCCTGCCTCGCGAGTGCGAGAGTCGAAAGCCCAGCTAGGATGCCCAGTAGTACCCTTATTCCCTTTTTGTAGTCCTAGCCTTTTTGTTCTTAGGTTACTGGGTATCCTAGCCAATTGAAACAAAGCCCAATTGAAACCCTAAACCCTAAACCATGCGCGCCAAGAACCTCGTCTGGCTGTGTCCGAGTTGCGAGAGCGTAAACCCTAAACCCTAAACAGGTGCTCTGGACCTTGGCATTCTGGACTGGGGAGGCCCAAGCAGCCGCAGATTTCAGGGGTTTGAATTTAGGCCCCGTTGCTTCGTAACGGGCGTTTGGATGCTCGGTTTTGAACGAGAGCTATAGATCTACCCTTCTATACCCCAATCCTTGCAAGTCGAGTATGTATCCGATACGTGCATGCATGCACAGTATTACCATACATGCATGCACCAAAGCGTCAATGTATGAATCAGAGAGACAAAGCGAGAGAGAGAGAGAGAGAGAGAACGTCACATGTCGAGGTATCTAGGACCAGTGGTGCTTGTTTGATTATCCATGTGTGCGCGGGTATATGCACCCGTCTAGCACATGAGTGGGGCTGCTGTCCGCGAAGCTATGTACCGGAGATGCGAAGCCAAACATAGCTTTCTTGATATGGGAGTTTCCGAAAATAGGGTAATTACCGTATTCGGGGGTCCTCATAATAAGGATCCTACTATTTAGGGTACTGTATTAGGGTCCCCCATTGTCGGAAACGCCCATATACAAATGAAACAAACAATGCCCTGAACCTGGAAGCTCCTCCTGGGAGGTGCTTCCAGCGGCTCGATGGGATGGAAGCTCTGGTGGTGGCTGTACTGCTGCGAGTATGCCCCCGGAATGAACTTAGGAGTGCGCAGAACGATGACCAATACGTGATAGAACTACTACAGCTAATTACTACAACTGATAAAAACTACTACAACTGAAAGGTCGGTAAGTGGATACTACTCCGCCTCCTGGTACTGCTACTTACGACTGCTACTACTCCTGCTGCTGCTGCTGCTGCTGCTGCTCTGCCACTGCTCTGCACTAAGCACTTACTGCTTACTGTTCAATTGTTTTCTACTGCTGCTGCTACCACTATTTCTGCTGCGGCTGCTACTACTACTACTACTACTACTGCTGCGGCTACCACTACTACTACTACTACTACTACTACTACTACTACTACTACTACTACTGCTGCGGCTACTACTACTACTACTACTACTACTACTACTACTACCACTACTACCACTACTACTCCTGCTGCTGCTGCTGCACAACTACTACCACGACTATTGCGAAACCTTTACAAACGTAATTAATTTGAGTTTATCAACATCATCATTCAGGTATGGATTATGATAATGAAATTCCCGTCATTAATATTACAGACGAGTGTGCATATCGTTTGGTCTGTGGGTTAGTACCATATGCGAACCTTACCAGGCCTTCTGATCTGGTCTTGTGGGCTTGTCGAGCCCAAAGCTACAGCCTTAGGCCCTACCTAGACCCTCAAAGTAGTTAAAATAATTGGGCCCGAAACCTGTAGAAGGCTATCATTCTACATACGTTTGGGGTCCAGGTACAGGTCACAAGCTCGGCAGAGGCTCATGCGCTTGGTATGTCTTGTCCGAGTTGTTCAAGAGAAAGTGTCTCTTGCACTGGAGGACACCGTGGCCCTGAGTTGAGACTCAAAGCCTGGACCATAAAACCATGAACTCCAAGCTCCATGCGTGGAGAACATTGAATTTTCAGATCTTCTACGTGGGACTTTCAGAACAGGGCCCTTTAGGTAATTGCCTCTTTCTGAAGCCCTGACATAAGGACTTCCTGAACTCCACTTTGGATCAGCTGCTGGATACTTTCATCGCCGAATACCAGGCGCCGGTCCTGCGCAGTGTAGGCAGCTCGAGGAGTGTAAGTCGGGCCACTCCCACTACCACCACCACTACCACTACCGGTACCAGTACTAGGACGACGACTACTACAACTAGCACCAATACGACAACAACTACTGAGTAAACCTATGACCCTCCGCCGGGCAAGCCCTATTTGTGCCAGAAGCCCATGGATGTTGTTAAGAACGGTTCCCCCTTACAGTCCCTATCTATATATATATATATAGATATAGTTGTCGTCTGATCTGTTTTATCAACACTAGTATCCGTTCAAAGTTCCGTGGGTAGACTTTTGCCCAACTTACTAAGGGTCCCAAAAACCCCAAAGCCTGAACTGCAAAGCCCCAAATGCTAGGGTTTCGGACAGGCGAACGGAGGGCCTGCGCTCGACCGAGAGGACAGCAATAGCCCCAAAGCTCCAGAAGGTCTTGGGAGTTTCCGAAAACAGGGGACCCTAATGTAGCACCCTATATAGTAGGATCCTCATTATAAGGGCCCCAAAATGAGGTACCCCTTATTTTCGGAAACTCCCATTTAGGGAGGGCCCTTCAAGGACCACCCCTCCCTAACCAAACTTGGAGGGGGGTGGTGCATCGATGTCTGGGGGTTCGAAGAACATGTCACCCTGTTCCAACAGGCCCAGTCGGAATCCCGGTAAATTTGTTTCCCGCGGGACATTCCAGCTGAGAGAATGTACTTGGGCTCTGACCCATGGAGCGATGAACAGCAATGAACAATGTACTTAAGGTGTTGGTCGGGGACCCCCCAAGTATATTAGTTCTCGGGGGGGCTTTGGGACATTTTATATTTTCCTTGTTGGGCTTAAGAGGATCTTATTTACTAATATTTTTCAAAGGCTCTCAAAGCCCCACCTAGTAATCCTTTAAGGGCTATTGAGTGGTTCTCCGAGGATCCCTAGAGGGTTCTTCATGGATTGATTGACCTGAGGCCCAACATGCCAACTAAAACAGCAATCCTGACGTAAACGGATACCCGGAAATCCCAAACCAAAGATTCACACGATTCAATTTTTCAAGCCGGGATAGAAACCGTGCGGTAGAAACTTCGCACTATGATTTCTACACTTACAGGACGCCTTCACAGTGACTGGCTAGACTCTGACACCCCATCTGATGCGGCCCTCAAGCCCGTCCGCCTTGGGATTTGCGGGTTCGAGGTTTAGGGTTGTGCAAAAAAAGGGTTTAGGGTTAAGGTTTCGGGTCCATGGTGGCCTTCAACCCCCCTGAGGAGCTCCGATGGCAGTTCACTCTCTCTGCGCTGGCTCAGGGCGTAGGTCTTCTTGGCGCCGTGCCGCAGATCTACAAGATGTGCAAGAAGACGGATCCCTGAACTGAACCGGTTTGGGGGCTCGGCTGTTATGAACCTTGAGATTCCAGGCATGCACCCAAGGCCGTGCTGAAAAGGCTTTAGTTTCAAAACCCTCAAATCCCAAACCCTTTTCTGTATGCTTGATTCACGCCGACCACGCCCGATAGATCTCGATAGATCTCGCACGGATTGACCGAGTTGCGAGAGTGTAAACCCTTTTCCGTAGGGGCTGTCCAAGTGTGAGCGTCCAAAAATGTAACAAAAACAAAAAACGTTAAAGGGTTTAGAGTCCAAACCCTGCAAGGTCAACGAGACTTTCGTGTCATGAAGGGATAACGTCCCCCCAGTGCTGGAATACCTTGGACCTTGAAAGCATCGTAAAGCCGATCCCTGAACCCTTTTCGAATTCCTATTCAACATTGAAGCCCCTACATTACTGTAAGCCTTACGAGATGTACTTTTGAGGGTCAGAAGATGCCGAAAGCGTGACAGAATCCCTTTGAGCGTTGGAACCCTATAACCCTAGCCTTTAAATCTCTGAAACCCTTTAATACAGGCAAACTCCAGTCCGTGGGCACCTTGCTTGTGCTGGCACTGTCAGCATTGAGGCCGCTATGTCAACAACTTGAAATTTGGCCTGACAGTTCACAAACACGCGAAAAGTTAGATGCCGACATGATTTGGCAGGCGTCTCACCCCTGCCTAAACATTTTGAACAAGACACGCAGCCCCCCAGATGCTGTGTTCGGTGCCTTTCAAATTGTTGCAGTTGGCTTCGAGGACCGCTCGAAAGGAACGTACCCCCTTCCCCTGTGCCAGTTTCTGTCAAATTCTGCTTTGGAGAAGCAGTAATGATATTGGGGTTTCTCCATGGAACGTCGCCCCGAGGCTTCCCTAGTAGTAGAGTAGGCAACCTTTAACTTTTTTTGGGTAGTATAGTCCCTATATATAACCCCTATATAGCCAAAAAGGTTAACCTTTA